CAAGTAATGTGATCCCATTACAATTTGTGCCACTAGTGTGCTTAAAAGATTTCCCATACCACACTAGAGAGAAAGCCCCAGACCTCACTATCACATACAAGGCCTTCTATGATGTGTCCTCCATTACTTCTCTGCTCCTTGATTACACGTACCACACAGGCCCTTCCTAAATGACTTCTGTGGCCATAAAGAAGAACTCACTTAGTCTGGAGATCTTAAGAGTAAATGGAAAAAAGATGCGCTTGCTCCAAAAAATGGCAGTCAGGGAAGAGTTTCCCTCTAGGGTAGTCACAAAGCCTTTCCACAAGTAGATATCCTTCTGGAAAATTCAGCAGGCCAAGAAAGCCTGCCCTGGGCCCGTACTTCTGCAGGGCAGGATCACCAAAATGTTTCTGTTGAATGGATTTTTACTGTCTTGATTTACAATAAATGCGTGGTTTTATTTAAACAAAAAACACATTTTTATTATTTAATTTTCTATATAAGTCTTTGAAAATGATACATGCAATAAAGATTATTTGCAATACCCATATTTGATGCATCATTTTCAAACCACATGGTTTAGCATGAAATTTAAATTCAGCCAATAATTCCAAGATGACAGTTTTATCTACAAAGCCTCCATTTCTAGTTCAACCAATTTATTTAATGGAACAATTTAGAGCACTTGTTTAAACTGATCCAAATAACATTCAAAAGAAAGTAAAGGGAAATAACTTTCAAATGCAATTTAATAATAGAAACGATTGCTGTTTTTAAAGCAATGAATCTAAGCCTCAAATGTGTTAATTGTACAAGTTCTTATTAAAGAGATTCAAGGAAGATAGCAATGTAATCATTATAAAAACATAAACTTAGATAAAATCTGCCATTTTTCCATAAAACACAGATACACAAATATTAAGACCACAAATAAAATACATGCTGTGAAGTGTAACAGGAGAAAACACTGAAAAATAAGACAAAATTATAGGTTTAAATATACATTATGCTTTAACTCTCACTTCATTGGATTTCCATTGCTTTCTAGACACATTCCCTACAAATATTTCCAGACACCTGGTGATTTTCTTTATTATGAGGGTTGAGATGGCAATAATTAAGTACTCTGCATTTCCTTTGGCAAAAGAAAGCATGATTTATGAGAAAAGAATAAAAATCTAAGAAAAACACTTAACAAATTACTCAATTTTTATATCAAACTGATTCAGGATAAATTTCTTCCATGTTGCAAGTATGGAAAATGTAGCTTACTGGATAACAGCACGGTATTTTAAGAGAATATCTGGGTTTTCTTCCCTGTTTTTAGTAATTTTGTGTCTGTAGGCAAGACACATAACCTCTCTTAAGTCTTAGTTTATTCATTTTGCAAAGGGGGTAGTAATAGGAAGTATGTCTCAAAGAGTAAGATGTATACCACCGGTGGCATTTAAGACAGCTGGTGTGGCAACGTGGGCAGATTGCTGGAGCTCAGGAGTTTGAGACCAGCCTGAGTAACATGGTGAAACCCCATCTCTACAAAAAATGCAAAAATTAGCTAGGTGTGGTGGTACACATCTGTAGTCTCAGCTACTTAGGAGGCAGAGGTGGGAGGATCACCTGAGCTGGGAAGACTGAGGTTGCAGTGAGCCAAGATCACACCATTGTACTCTAGCCTGGGTGACAGAGTGAGGCACTGTGTTGAAAAGGAAAAAAAAAAAAGAAAGATAGCTGGTGTGGTGATAAACTTATTTTTAAAAATGTATCTCAACACAATTTTAATGTGTATGATAAAAATATAAAATTCGTATATAAAATAAAAAAATAAGTAATTTCTCAGGACAAACCTAGCTAGCATGATGGGAATCTCTCTTTCTCAGAGTATAGTTCTTTTCAGTTGTACTTTGAAATTTCACTTCAATGAACACGAACATTTTAAAAACGGTAAAGAACATTTTAAAAACTAAATGTCAGAAGAAGGGTCTTAGGGTTCATGTGGATTGTGTCAGAATTAAAGGAAATGGTGAGCTACATTTCATAAGGTACTCAGCAAAGCATTGGAATATATTAAAAACTCAGTGACTTATTGCTGCCATATTACTATAATCCTAATAAATCAAATATACTCCATTTAGCATAAAAGAAGTTTGAGTATCTGTGTATAGCAAAACCATCATCTTTTACTTTCCAAATGATTTATAAATAATATGTACCACCAAGAAACCAAGAAAGAATAAAAGAAATGAAGAAACAAGGGGAGGGACAGGAGCTCACAGAGGACAAATAAGCAAAGAGCTGATGCAATTAAATGACATATACAATTTGCCATAATAATATTTTGCAAAATGACATACGTTGCAATGATTAGGCTAAGTAAATCTGCCTATGAAATTTGAGGAATTACTACACACCCAGTGAATAGCACCTATATAATCATATTACATTTTGTCTCAGGACATTAGAAATAAAGAAAACAGTTTTCTGGTTATGTTTTCTAGAAATTCTATCAACCAGCCTGGGCAACACGGTGACATCCCATCTGTACTAAAAATAAAAATTTTAAAAAACCCCAAAAAACTAGCTTATAATGGTGGTGCTTGCCTGTAGTCCCAGCTACTCAAGAAGCTGATGCAGGAGGATCATTTTAGCCCAGGAGGTGGAAGTTGCAGTGAGCTATGATCATGTCACTGCACTCCAGACTGGGCGACAGAGCCTGCCTCAAAAAAAAAAAAAAAAAAAAAATCCTATCTAAGGCAGTACATACCACTAAAAAGAAAATCTAAAAACATTTCCTGTAATTTTACTAAGTTCTTGTGAATAGCGTTTTTTAAAATAAGCATTTTCACAAAAAGAAAAGGGCAATATTAATATGAAATATAATACTACTTGGATAGTTCTCTCTTCAATGTATTTTATGTGTCTCCCATTTAATTGCAATTGTAGTTAACATTTTCCTGCAGATAATTATTTCTGAAAATAATATATGCCCAGCATTTTGTGAATATGTTTTGTTCCTTTAAACAAAGTATTCTAAATTTCATCCACCAACACATAAAGTGGCTGTAATATTCTGGTGTTCTAATTCTTATCACAAATTAACCACAAATTTTCTTTTACCATAGGCAAAGAAAGGACTATTTAATAATTAATTGAAAGAGAATTAATACCACACTTTAATCCAAATGTCTTTAGTCATAGTAAGACTAAATTCTCTACTATCAACAGTTCTTTCTCTAAAGATGTAGTCCGGCCATGTTGCCCAGGCTGGACTCAAACTCCTAGGTTCAAACCATTCTCCCAACTCAGCCTCCCAAGTAGCTGGGACTGCAGGCACCTGGCTAGTATCCTTATCCTGTAAGAATGTACTGGGGACAGAATTGGGCACAATCTGGTGAAATCTCAAATATGAGTAACCCAAGTGACAGAAAAATTCACCTAAAGTTTCACTTTGATGGCTGACCAACAGTTTCTTACCTGGAAAATGGGGCTCTGGGCCAATGAATAAGGTAGGCTCTCAAGATTAGGGAGAAAATTCAGAAATGACATCTACTGAGAGTTAACACACAATGAACAAATAACACTGGTTGTCTTGGGAGAGATGGAGGAAACCTATCAATGACACTACGGATGGCCTTCCATATGTATCAAAAACGCAAATGTAGTCACTCAAAATTAATTAAAAAGCAATTTTTCTACTTCTTGCTTAAAATATGTAATACAACTATAATTATGTGGTATGATGAAACAGGAGCTTTTTTACAGAGGTGAATTTACCAGATCACTAAAACTAATTTTTGGAAACAAACATGCAAATGACTTAAAATAACCATCTGGCTTTATCAAATTATTAATTGAATTTACCATAATCAGCAACTGTCCTGGCATTAAAACATATTCTACCTGTTTTGATCTCTGGCCTTCGTTAAATATGCCTTTTCATTTCTCTCTACATAACACTCTCTAATCAGTAATCTCATAAAAACAATGAGAAGAAATCATTAAGTATTTCCAAGAATGACACCCATTTTAAGATTTAACATTTTATATTTAGTAACATTGTTCCTAGTCCTGAATAAATTAAAAGAAAACCCTTTGTGAGAGATAAAAGAAGTACTTAACAATTTGACCACCTGTAATATGTAAATTTATAACATGTTTTCCTGACAAAAACACACGTTTAATCACATGATCAATTAGCGTATTCATCAAAAGCTTACAATAAAGTTGAAAATTAAAGTTGTACTTTTTTTTTACAGTTTTTAATTTTTTTCAAGTAACAGCTAACAGTATGATAAAAATCATAGACCATTTTACAACATAAATTTAGACTCACTTGTTGGCCCTAAACCATAAACGTTATCATTAGGAAGTGACAGTGATGAAGTTTGTTATAAAATCAAATGATCCAACTCTAAAAATAGTTTAATTTTTATATGATACTTCTGTTGCCCAGAAAAGGAAAATTGGCACATGACTTTTATCGAGGTACAAAGTAAAAGCAAATTTCCCCATTATGATTACAGTATTCCTGTAATATATATCCTATTAAGCTATTGTTGTTAATTCTGCTTTCGCTTTTAATTGCTTAACTTCAAAACACTGTTATAAATAATACAAGCTGTTCTTCTAGCAAATATTTATTATTATAATAGGATCCAGAAGTTCTTTAAACATTTGACAATTACAAGAGGAAATCGATAGCGGAATAGGTCAGAAACAGGGCACTTGGCTCAGTTCTTGCAGAAATGATATACTGTGAACTTATATTTTCAACACTCTCTAAGTAGCAATGCTCCTCAAGTTATGATGGTGTTACTTCTGGATAAACTTATCCTATGACCTTTTCAACTTACAATGGGTTTATCCGGATATAACCCCATCATAAGTCAAGGAGACTAGTGAATGTCTATCACTTTTGCACCATAATATAATCGAAAATCGTAAGTTGCACCACCATAAGTTGGAGACTCTATAGTAGAAAAGTTTTGTTGAAAGAGTATGCCAATAAATTTTGTACTTACTTTGCAGAGGCAAAGTGTTTCTAATACACTGTAACTCCAGTTCCTCTGTCCATTCCAGCTTTGGCAGCATCTGCTTCATCTCACAGTTACCATTCTCTGCCATGGACACTGGTTGACTATTGACTGGTATCTTTCCCAAACACTTCATGTGTTGTTGAACTTCCGCCAAGAGAACAGCTTGTATTGCTTCAGTTACCTGTAAGGTATTTTTTTAAGTGAATTATTTTTAGTATTATTACAAATGCTTAGGTATGTTGCAAAAAATCCAAAGCCCGGAATTTAAATTTGAACAGGTTTCCATAAACAATAACTTTTCATTCTTCTAGCATTAGCATCCACAACAACTGAAATGTACGTAGCAACAACTGGCACCCAGACTTTCACGCTGTTCTTTTTTTTTTTTTTCCTTTGGCAATGCAAGAGATTCTAAAAGGATACTTGAGGGGCATTTTTTTAAAGTCCAGAATGTCAAACATTACACTATGGGACAAAGAGGAGTTTTCAATTATTTTTCCTATTTTCGTTTCCACCAGAAGATAAAGAAAATTCATTTGAATTTATCCTATGGCTCTTAAAGACATGGTTAGATCCTCAAACTATGTATAGCTCCAAAGCATTATTTAAACAAAACACTGCATTTAAACTATGCTTTACACAGAAAATTAAAGAAATGACTTTAATAACAAATCTCACTAAATTTTGTGTATACCTATGTGGTTTTACATATATTAAGGTATTGCAAGGCACGTCTTCCAATTGCTGTGTGTGCCCAGTCAAGGACCTATGGTTCGAAGGAGGGGGAAAGGAACACTTGCCACAGAACATCCAACCAAATTCTTCATTTTTAAAATGAAGAATCTGGGGCATGACACCTCAAGGTTATATAGACTTGGTGGACAGACCTTCTGATCCCTGATTCTGTCTTTCAAAGTACATGTCCACTCAAGATTCTATATCCTCTACCTTCAGTGCAAAGCTAGTGACAGTTTCCTAGACCTCTTCCTGGTAAAAGATGAGGTAAGGTCTAGCAGTTAGGTATAGCCAAAAGAAGGCCAGGAGCTGAATTAGGGAGAGAAAAGAACGGACATGGTTGATATAGACAAACCAGGTACACCTTCTCATTACCCTTCTCCAGCCAATAGTTAAACATTTCATATAGCTACATCCAAGTGCTTTTCATATAGCCACATCCCAGTGCCATAGCATATATATTTTCCCCTCAGAAGTCTGTCCTCTGTCAAGCTGACTCATGTTCCACAATTGCCACTGTCCTCCTCCATTACTCCCGGTCTACCCATAGGCACGTCTAGAGCTAGGGATATGGGACAACACCGAGAGTGGTGACCTAGAGATGCTTTGGTCAAAAACTGAACATGTATTTATGTAAATATGTATTCCGTCTCTTTTGCATGTAATGATAGCATGTGAGACCTTCAGGTTCCAGGGACATCCAAGGAGATTATTATGATGGCAGATACTTGCTGAATTCCTGGGACAGAGAAGATGGCCTCTGACTTTTAAATATAGTAAGCTTCCTGAGAATACTGGAGCAACTTCCTGATTGCCGATTATCTCCCTGTCCTTATCCAGCAGACACTCAAACGTTTGATTAAGGAGTGAAAAAAGGCTAATGAATAGTAGAATATCACTATTGCATACCATGCATACTAACATGTAGTACTGCCTATTTGCAATACAAGTGAATGGTGCTTACTCATGAATATCATGTAATGAGATACTTAACATCAGAGTATCAATTATATACCATTAATCTAAGATATACTTCTGCACATCATGATGCTGGTAAATAACGCATATTAATATCTACCATATGAGACCAGCCTGGTTGACATGGTGAAACCCCATCTTTACAAAAAAATGCAAAAATTAGCCTGGCTTGGTGGTGTTCACCTGTAGTCCCAGCTACTCAGGAGGCTGAGACAGGATGATTGCTTGAACCCAGGAGGCAGAGGATGCAGTGAGTCCAGATCATACCCCTGCACTCCAGCCTGGGTGACAAATCTGGTATATATATATGTGTGTGTGTATATATATACATATATATGTATATCACACCAGTATATCACATCAGTATATCACACCACTTCTGAGATATAAATATAAATTATTATATATGTTTCTTGCTAACATATACTGCTATATATATACCACAGTATTGGTAAACCATGCTGATTTATGTATATCACATGATGGGATATATTGTATTACTTATTCATGATGAACAATTTTATAACACTGAAGTTATTTCATTTTAACTTTGTCATACATGTTATTTCATAGCACTGGTTCGATGATGTGGATAATATGGCAGAAAGAACTCAGGATCATAAGTGAAAAGGTTTGCATTTCCTATTCCACTATGACAGTTACCACAAATCCAACCTTTGACAAGTCACAAACTTCTCTGAAACTTCATGTTCTCACTTACAAAAGAGTTTGTGATACTGAGAGACATTAGGATAAGAGCTGTCAATAACACGGAAATTGCTCTTTCTATACTCATAAATTAAGGATACTGGACAATTTTCTAAGACCCACAATGTGTCCAGACTATATCATACCCCTCAGAATGGGTAGTTTGGCCATATGCCTTCACTGGGCTTATGGCTGTCCTCTTACCCTGGGATGCTTATCACCCCAGAGGCATGCCCACAGTTGGGATCTAAAATGTCATCTCTCCCACTGAATATAATATCCTATACAACTTGGATAATCATTATTTCTTAAAAATATACAGGAATTTATGTATTTTAATTTAATATTTCTAATTATTTGATTTACATGTCACGACTTCACTTTTTTTAACTGTTGATTTTTTTTACATAGTCATCACCACAAATGCATATTATAAGAATAAAGAAATGAATATCATCAAAAACAAGTGGAACAGAAATAACTATAGAATAAAATAGATTAACCATGATGAGTAGGGTACTCAGAGCCACAACAGTTAAAAGCGAATACTGAATGGCATCCAATTGGAAAGAAACTGAAAATATATATTTCAACTCAGTGTGAGATGAGAGAAAGGCTGTATCTTCTAAACATGTAATAATGTTATTACAGTATCTGGAATAGAGTGGACACTAAATAAATACTAGTGGAATTGAAATAGATTCTGCAGACTTTCAAAAATAAACTGTGGAAAGTATAATTTATTGATAGTTTATAACTATCAATACTTGAGTCTCTCTCTATAAATGTAGCAGATAGATTTTACAGGTAGTCAACAGAAATGGAATTTTCTCCAACAAAATATAAAATGTTTATATGGCATTTTATATAACTTCATAATTTTAATAATGAGCTAGCATTGAGCATTATGGCTATAAGGCTGTCTTCCCAACATATATAAATAAATTTCTTCCAAAACATAGATATCAAAGAATCGTATTCTTTTATGAGGCAATGTGCACAGATTAAAAATAAAGTTTACAAACTCATTGACTGGAAAGAGTCAGCTACAAATCTAGGACATATGCTTATTAACTAAAGGTATTACTGAGTCCTAGGCAAGCCAAAAATTTTAGTGGTGTTCCATTAACACCTTGAAAGAACAAAATACTGTAAAATAGCATAGAGCATCATGAGGATGCATAAGAACCCCTGTGTCCTGGTTGTTGTTCCAGTGTCTAGTTTTTTTGTTATAAAACATTTTTCCCAACACTCTGCTCATGCTGACCTTTCATGTCTTTGCGGTGTCTCCTGGAAAAACAACATTTCTAACTGGAGGCCTAAATGTCATGATGTGTACCCAGTGGTGTTAAATTATAAAATCCAAAGAAATTTAGTGCAGTACCAGAAACATGCAAATTAGCAATCCCCAAACTTTTCTGTTTCTTTTCCAGCATTTATTTTTATGTTGATTGTTCAATGTGTCAAAAGCAAAAGAGACAATCTCTAGACAAACTTATTCATCAGCAAAATTAATTCATTCTTCCCCTAACCTTAAAGGTAAACATTCAACTTCTGGAGCTAATTTTGCTCGTTTTACAAAAGCATTCCATTTAACCAGGGTTAAAATGAAAGAAAAATTGTTAAGGACAGCTAGAGAGAAAGGCCAGGTCCCTTACAAAGAGAAGCCCATTAGACTAACAGTGGACCTCTCAGTGGAAACCTTACGTGCCAGAAGAGATTGGGGGACAATAGTCAAAATTCTTAAATAAAAGGAAATGCAACCCAGAATTTCATCCCTAGTTTAACTAAGCTTCATAAGGGAAGGAGAAAAAAGATCCTTCTCAGACAAGCAAATGTTAAGGAAATTCGTTACCACTGGACCTGCCTTACAAGAGTTCCTGAAGGAAGCACTAAATATAGAAAGGAGAGACTGTTACCAGCCATTACAAAAACACACTGAAGCATACAGACCAGTGACAGTGTAAAGCAACCACATAAACACATCTGCAAAATAACCAGCTAACATCATGATGACAGGATGAAATCCATACATATCAATACTAATCTTAAATGTAAATGGACTAAATGCCTCAATTAAATGACATAGAGTAGTAAGCTAGATAAAGAACCAAAACTATCAGTATGTAGTCTTCAACATAACATGTCAACCCTCAAAATAAAGGGTTGGAGGAAAATCTACCAAGCAAGTGGAAAAAAGGAAAAAGCAGGGGTTGCAATCCTAGTTTCTGACAAAACAGACTTTAAACCAACAAAGATCAAAAAAGACAAAGACATTACATAATGGTAAAGGGTTCAATTCAACAGGAGGAGCTAACTATCCTAAATATAAATACAACCAACGCAGGAGCACACAGATTCATAAAGCAAGTTCTTAGAGACCTACAAAGAGACTTAGATCCCCACACAATAATCATGGGAGACTTTAACACCTCACTGACAATATTAGACAGATAACTGAGACAGAACATTAACAAAGATATTCAGGACCTGAACTCAGCAGTGGATCAAATGGACCTGATGTCTATGGAACTCTCCACCCCAAAACAACAGAATATACATTTCTTTCATCACCACAGGACACCTATTCTAAAACTGATCATAATTGGAAGTAAAACACTCCTTAGCAAATGCAAAATAACTGAAATCATAACAAACAGTAACCAGGACCACAGCACAATCAAATTAGAACTCAAGACTAAGAAATTCACTCAAAACCATATAATCACATGGAAATTGAATAACCTACTCCTGAATGAC